CCTACGAGCGCACCATGGTCAATGGGAACAGCATCACGCAGAACGGCGGCCCCAATGCCACCGCCAGCAGCTTCGGCCCCAACAAGGGCATCATGTGCTTCGAGGACAATATCATACGGTTCGAGCAGGTGCCCCTGGTCACGCCCAATGGCGATATTCTGCTGAAGGAGCTCACCTTTGAAGTGAAGTGAGTAGAGTGTGTGGGTCGCTCCAGTATCCATTTTATTTCATTTGGGCATTTGCTCTTTCATTGTAGATCGGGCACCAATGTCCTCGTCTGCGGACCCAATGGCTGTGGCAAGTCTTCGCTCTTCCGCATTCTCGGCGAGCTCTGGCCCACGTGGGGTGGCAAGGTTACCAAGCCGTCGCGCGGCAAACTCTTCTACATTCCCCAGCGTCCGTACATGACATTGGGCAGCTTGCGAGATCAGGTAATGGGCGAATTATATTTGAATCTCCAGCCAAGCTCTCTTTGCTCATTTCCTATCCATAAGCTGTAGAGCTATGCTCTGGGCATGCCCCATAAAGCTAGATAGGCTGTCTCTCTCTCCCTCTTTCTCTCTCTTTCACTATTCAGCTTATGCAGTTTATATTTCTCAATCACTGTCTGACGTTCTCATTCTCCTCCCTTCTATTTGTCTGTCTAATTTTTAATCTATCTATCTGTCTCTTTTCCCTTTCCTTCTGTCTCTTTCACTATTCAGTTTATATTGTATATCTGCTACTCTTTTAATATTTTATATATTGCATATTTGCTGTATATCTCTTTCTATATTTCTCTATCGCAGTCTAACATTCTCGTTTTTCTCCTTTTTATATGTCTGTCTCCCTTTGAATCTATATATGTATCTCTCTTTCTATATGTCTTTTTCTTCCTCTCGTTTTCTCTGTCCGACGTTCTGTGCCCCTGTCGCTCTTTCTCTTTTGCAGTCATCACAATTATTCATAACCTCTCTTTCTCGCTCTTCCCCTTTCTCTTTCCACAGATCATCTATCCCCATACACGCGACGATATGCGTCGTCTGGGCAAATCGGATGAGGATCTGTTGCACTTCCTGGACATTGTGCAGCTAACGTATTTGGAGCAGCGCGAGAATGGACTCGATGCGATCGAGGACTGGATCGATGTGCTCTCTGGTGGCGAGAAGCAGCGCATTGCCATGGCCCGTCTCTTCTACCACAAGCCGCAGTTCGCCATACTGGACGAGTGCACCAGCGCCGTGTCCGTCGATGTTGAGGGCAAGATGTACAGCTATTGCCGTGAGGTGGGCATTACGCTCTTCACTGTGTCGCATCGTAAATCCCTCTGGGTGCATCACGATTACTATTTGCAATTCGATGGGCGTGGCAGCTACGAATTTGCTACCATCGATCAGGACAAGGAGCACTTTGGCTCCTAAGCGAACGTGTCTCTGGCATTGGATTGACAAAGAGCGCAAGGAGGGAGCAAGAGTGGGTGATCAAGTAGTAGTCAACAGTCGGCACACACAAAAACACACACACAAGTAGATATATATATA